TACTCTTTAGTATGCATGGCCTAATTGGTTATCTTCTTTGTGTCTTTTAAAAATTTGAACTTTCTTTTCCAACGAGCGTGAACCCAAAGCGGCACATCCAAAGCCACCACCGCCACCACTAGACCAACACCACCACCACCACCACAACTACCAACAACAATAATAATAACAACACCCGCCATTCGCCACCAAGTAGCAGTGATGTGATCAGGGTACTTGTGCCAGGCTAGGTGCACTCTACCAACTCCTGCTAGGAGTGAGCAGCAATTATCAAATCATCAAAATGATGATGATGAGCTAAGCAATTTAAAAGCTAGATTGAAAACTTATTTATTTTCGAGCAGCTCTTTGTGCTTAGCTTCTTGTTCTTCTCCCGTACCTCCGATTAGCATGGTTAGCTACGTATAGTCCAAAATAAGTTCAACAACATACAGCATATATAACGTATGGTTGACCAGTACGGAGCGATACCTTGACCGTACCCGGGCATTGATTAAAGCAAAACAACCACCATCGCCACTACTGCTGCCAACACCTCCAACCAGCATTGACATCGCAGTTAGCCTTTTGAAAATTGTTTCGTGTTGTGTTTGGAGTGCGGAGGGGGGTGCTGTTGACGGATTTTTAACATCTGAGCAGCGAGCGTGAAAATGGAAGGCGTAGTCGTAGAGGCAACGTGCTTTATTAGCGACAAACAAACCGCCGGGCAAAACAAAAACAATCCGCAATGTTCTAGGGTTTGGAATGGACTCAAGTTTTGTTTTAAATCGACAAATCACAAAGCGCCCACTCCCCCCCCCACTGCCCCCAATAAAGGCATCGACAACTGACTGGTTCATCATGCAGCAGCAGCAGCAGCGGCGGCGGCGGCGGCCGTCCACCAACGTCGCCCGCACATCCCGGCCAAACGTTGGAACAATTGCTGCAAACCCCCTTTTCTGTTTCAGGTCCTGTTTGGGCCAGGGGATTTTGAGAGGGCTTCACGTACGGGATTTTTTTTGTTAGTTATTTTACCTCAGCGACGGGAAATTTGTGGCGAGAGGCAAGGCGATGGCGACGCTCCATTCTGACTTGCCATCCAAGATTGCTCGTGATGGACAGCAACACTCGTGGCTTGATGTTGCGCCATCAAAAAACGCTTCAGAGCGCAGTTTTTTTTTAAATTAGCCTAGGGGACCCTTCTATTGGCAAATTGCCCCGGTGAAACACAGCGCCGGTTTGCAAGTGAGCATTTCTCTGTAAGAGTGGGCGATGTTGACAATCGTTCTTCCAATAAAGTTTGTCTGTTCTCCCATAACGCGTGTTTTCACGGCGCGAATTGGATATAACGCGATTAATGTATTCGGGAACACATTTTTCTAATTGCGCGGATTGGATACAACGCGATCGAGAGAAGAGAACACGTCGCGCAAGTAGGAGTAAGCGGTTGTTGCACGGGTGCCTCGGGATAGCATTACATAAGTGCGGGATGCTGCTGGATGCTTCTCGATGCTACCCACGCACCTCGGTCTCTGTTCAGCCTGCGTACGCATATCGCGTGTTATCGCGGACTGTGCTTTCGCCCTAAATTATACATTATTTATAACGCGATTTTCCCAGACCACAGTGTTCTTCAGGAACGCGATTGCCGCGTCATAGGAGAACGGACAGTATTTGCGAATCATTTCCCGCGTTTGGCAAATTCTGATTCATGATACCCCCCCCCACACACACACACGTGACCTACTTGTTGCGATGTGACATGTCCAGTTGTTGTGATGTGACCTGTCCACTTGACGCAGAGCTGTCCGCACTCTTCATAGAGAGCCACCCTGGAGGGTAATTTGGCCTACTCTTCCACGCTGGCCTGACTTTATCCCACCGCACCCGAACTGCCGATCGACTCACTCGTGATAAACTCTTATTTTTCTCTGGGTGGACTGTTAAAAAAAAAGAGTTCCGATATCCAGGCGGCAAAACACCTCTATAGCGGGGCATGCAAAACGGCGCAGTACCACTCTAGTGTGAATAATAGGCAACTGAAGCACCTCGGAAGTAGTTCTGCGACATCATCTTTCTCCAGCGCAAGGTGGTGCACTGTTCGCAGCGAGGGCGACACGAGCTCCCGTTCTGATGAACGCGCGCAGCTCTGGAATTATCTGACGTGGCCGATCGCATCCATCCATCCATCCGGGTGCGGTGCCCGGGTATGGAGCGACTAAAATCGGCGCTGGCGACGGTGAGCTGTGGAGCCCTAATCCTATTTCTCCACATTAGCACGGCGCTCCTAATTAATTGGATTAAATTGTCTCAGTGCGGCCCGACAATCCGGCAAAATCTGGGAATGCCGAGTTTGGCTCCGGTGGTTTTGCCCGGTTGTCTGCGACGCGTTACAACCGATGCGTTACTATAAATCGTCGTCAGCCATGGTCTGTCACTGCTGGATGAAGGCTTCCACCCCACATCGAGTAGATCATGGGGCTTGTTTGGCCACACTTGAACCATATTTCACCTCGCGCTGCGTGAGCCGCCGTTTGAGAACATTCGAGCGAACCTTTATTCGGGCTTGCAGCGTACAACAAAATCAGTACAATAAACGCACGCAATGCAATGATTAAGTTGTGGGCAAATGATATCGGGATTAAATAATTCGTTGCGCCGTCGAAACGGACATCGCATCGTGAAATATGATATCACGCCAACGCTCGCTTTGAGACGTGAACAAGATAACGCCACTTCACTTTAGTGAACGCCTTTGCTCATTTCGGCTGATTTTTTTGTCCTGTGAAAAGCGTGACGCTGGCTGCGCCGAGCGTGCCAACTCAAGCAAGAGGCACGGACATTGATCAGGAGGCATGGGGACGAATTCTCACGGTGGAACGAGCGCAGCGGAACGCATTTTACGAGTGGAAATGTCATTCGGGGTAATAAGAGGGCTTCAGGGCAGAGCTGTGAGACAACGGAACAAAAAAACTGGAGAGAGGAAAAAAAAGGACAAACGAGTTATTATTTATTAATTTGAGAGTCAATTCACTTTTTAAACAAAAAAAATTATCCCCTTCAATGCTTCTTGGTCCAGAAATAGACGCCAGCATATCTGTTTGTTTAAACACAATGCGCGACGGATCTATATTTAGAAAGCGCGATGAGAAAGTCCATCTTCTGTCTCCACGCATTGGCGAGTTTAAAAGAAAAAAAAATTAGTTGCTGTGATCGCCGAGACGTTGCGAGTCCCCGTTGGGACTGCCGACAAACGCTGTCGCCTCCGCGGCGCTCGTCACGGGCGACAACCATCGGGTGCTACGTCGCCCCTCGCAAACCAAATTTACCGGCTCGCATTAAATCTCGGCCCAACGCAGCACAACCCCTAGAAGCCCGACTCGGGGAGAGAGAGGGCGGCTAGGCCCCCACTAGCGGAACGCCGTGGTCGATCGACACAATCGCTGAACCTCATCATGCCTCTGCTCACCACGTGTTTTCTTTTCCTTCCGCAATTGGAAATGCATTTTTGTTTTATATAAGAATTTTTTTAAACCGATTGATTAAATATTATGTGTTTTTTTATTGTTGTTTTGCTTGTTTAGACGTGTAATGTGCAAAGTTGAGAGGGTGCAAGGTTACTACGGAGTGATGCATTGCTCTCCACGAGGTCCAAATGAAAAAAATATATATCTAGAAAATGTAATTGTTCGGCAAATTTATCTCAGACTGCTTTGACCGCCCAATGCACATCTGCGTAGTCGTGCAAAAAAAAATGTGGCTCATGAGTCTGAGAAAGTTGAAGCTGGTTACGTTTTCCTGCTTAAAACATGCTTCTGGAATTTCGGAAGGCTCCTAGGCAAATGGATAAAAATTATGTAACTTCATCAAATGTATTTTTTCTTAACCAATTCAGACAACAAATAATTAGTTTGTGTAAGGTATTGCTCTTTGCATTTTGCAGTACCATAGTTTCAATCGGGTTATCCTGCCAATAACATTTAGTAAATCCAGCAAAGGCCTGCTGCTTTTGCCAACGGGACACAGACGGTAAAAACTAGCCCAGCGTTGGCTTGCTTAAAACAAAATCCACTTCATAATATTCGTCTGCAAAGCCTGATGGAGCGCAACCCCAATAGCCTGATGGATTATACAGTAATACAATTCATTGCATATGCAGAGACATAATTGAGTTTCGCTTATATTACGTGTTTAAAAAAGATAAATGACAAATGGTACAATACAACACATTTGTAACGTTGCATAAACAAATTTACTGAGTCACAGTGATTTGAACTTCCTCCAAGTGCCTCTCATTTAAAAAAAATTTGGACTTTTATATTTGCATTGTCCCGGGTCATAATTTCTGATAACCCGTCCGTTTTCTACGAACAAGGGGGGGGGCACGCCCCCCCCCCCCCGGCTGCTATAAATAGGAGACAGCACGGCCGCGGCCAAGGAGGGAGTCACGCGTAAACACACACACACAAAGTTTCCACGCGTCATCGGAGCACAAACAGTCGCGGCTGTGTTAAAAGAGCGAAGAGAAATTTGTTGTTAAGCGTTTCCCACTGCTTTAAGCTCGTGGGCCCGCCGACTCCACGCCTCTGAATTAAACGCTGTGTAAGTTAGCGGGCCCCTCGCGCTCATGCCCTCGGGCAAGTGGTGAAAAAAAATGTTTGTCAGAATGCATGAATTCACGTGATTGAACCGTGGTGGTGGTGGGTGGGTGCCCACAAAAACTTAAACATGAAACGTCCGATTGGTATGTTGGTGCCACGTCATCCACAACAGGTATTCCTAAACGTTTGGGATTTATTAGAAAATTGTTTGTGTTAAATGAAAAAATATTTGTTGCACACGTGACTTAATTTCACAACTACATTTTTTTTTCCTGAGACGCTGCTCGATCCGAGTAAGGTGGGCACATACGACTCGCTGCCACAGCGACGGCCACATCTAGATGTCGACGAGGTGTGAGATATTTTATGGGTCGCCGACCCGGCTGAAATAAATCCCTTGCTGGAGTTGTGGTCTCTCAACGTGGTGGAGGGGTGGGGGTGCAAAATCTGTAGAGGGCAAATCCAACGAACCGATTTATTTATTTTCCTTCCGTCGGCCAATGGGATTTTGGCGGAGGCGAGAGCCTGTTTGACCAATGGCATTGGCTCGGCCCAGCTGTTAAAAGACTTGGCCGGCACGGGCAGCAGCTGGCACATGACTCTCAAAGCCAAGAGCAACACGGCCACAACGTTGTTTTGTGTGTGTGTGTGGGTGGTAGTGGGGAGGCGGAGGGGGGATAGTGTTACATGTTCGCCGATCGACTGGGATTAATATTTTCTTATATGAAATTCGTTCGATCTACTAAGAAGAAGAAGAAGAGCTGAATCGATGTCAGCTTGCGCGTATGAGCGTCGTCGAGTCGCCGTGCCCGGAGTGGCGTGCGTGCCATCGCACGGAGAGGTGAGGGCGCTGTTTTTGGTTCGTCACCGGCTGCTGCTGCTGCTGTTCGTGAAAGGTCACGCTCAGTAGTCGATCTTGAAAATGTGACAGTGGCCTTCAAACGGCTGCTGCTGCTAATAAGCCAGTGTCGTTGCGGTTATAATATTTTGTCAACGGATTGAATTCAAAACTCATTCGCCGTTTGTTTTTGACGAATGTCATAATGGATAAAAAAAAATACACGTGAGCACGGACTAGCGTGGTGATGTATGGTTAAAACAGCCACTCGTGACCGACATCGGGAGGTCATCATCCACCCAGTGGATCGCCAGGGACTGCAAATTACTTTTATATTCCGTATATGTTAAAGAAAAGCTAACCAGTGGGTGGGTGCCTGCATTAAAAGTAACTGAGATAACGTCCACGTTTAAACAGTGCCCTTCAAGGTCACTTATTTATTATCGCCACAATCAGCGGCACCGTTCAAAAGTAAACACAATCGCGTGTTTATTAGGATTAAGAGTAATACGAACAATGTCCTTTATTTATCCAGGTAAGCCTCACTGAGCCTCAAGACTAGTTAGTCGGGAGGGTCCTGCTACATTGGGATGTTTGGCCAATTACGTTAAATGAGACTTTGGCTTCATGTGGCATCAACTCGGAGAACTCGGGAGACAATCCACACACAAGATGGGATTAAACTCAGGAAATCAACTTCTGATTATGATTCTAAACACTCAGAGGTCTTTGTAGTAAATGAGAACTGCTGTGTTTTATACTGTACTATGTATTTGTCATATCAGAATGAGCGAACAATGTGTTTAGTTTATTTGGGTGACGTGTGTGCATTATTGTGTTACTTGAAAGTTCGAGTTCGAATTTTGGTCTCAGTTTATATTTATTTATCTTGTGAAACTTCTTCTGACTTCGTGGCTTTTAACGCAATTCCATTCTTCGCCACTGAGGTGTTTCTGTGCTGCCCGTTCTCTGTTTGTAACCCAGGGCCTTCCTAGTAATAGACACCTTCGTCCCAGTGGGTTCTCAGTTATAGTTTGTATTGCATGATTACTCTGCTTTGTTTACCCAAGAAAGCCGAGCCAAGTCTCATTACCCTAAGAGACTCACGTGTTCGTGTGTATTTCGGCCGAGCGTGATGTTGGCCACCCACCCCCTCGTGCGCCGTGCCGGCCTTCATGCGTGCTCGCTAAAAACACTTGTCCCTTCAGGCTATACGGGGGATACTCTTTGGTTCTATTCGGTAAAGTCACGTAAGTAAAAAAATAAAACAACAAAAATCACCAGTCTGGTCCCTTCACCTGATGAAGGCCGCTTGTGTTGTGGCCGAAATGTTGTGATTTTTTTTACCTACGTGACTTTACCGAATAGAACCAAAGAGTATGGATCCTTGCAGTCACGAAAGCTTCAAATCTATAATATACGGGGGATCTTTGTCTTATACCTAGTATAGTGTTTAGCGCACCCCAGCTGCGCGTCCGAGTTCGAGTCTACGTCCGGCCACGGCTAACATCATTGGCGAATGATATCCGAACCGATCCTGGGTACCCCCCCCGCCCCCTACACAGATGTCGCCAGTTCCATCTCTCCCGCTGTGGCAGTTGAAACACGGAGCCCTTCCACTGGCAGTTGCGCGAGCAATGCGTTTCAGGGCTGCACCTTTACCTTTCCGTCCAATCGCTTTCGTCGACGAAACGTCGCGGCTGAGAATTAAATCGCTGCTTTCAGACCCTCCTCTGGAGGGGGCCTCCCTCCAGTGGGGGAGGCCCTTCCGCCAGCAATGCGGCAACGACGCGAGCAAGCACATTTCAGGGCTGCGCCTTTATCTCTTGCAGCTGGATTCCAACCCGGGGGGCTTTTCCCTGCACCCGGCGACCTCAGCGAGCCCGCACCCCGCGGACCCTGACGCGGCACCCCCGCGTCACGCGCTCTCCTCTCCCCCCTCCAACCACCAACGGCCCCCGCACGGCTCCCACGGCCGACCTCTGCCCTTCTGCTGCCCGCTGCCCTCGACTCCCCGCCACGTGCCGTACCCGGCGGACGTCCGTCACCTCCGCCCGGGGCAGCTGAGCCCAGCGGAGAGCGACGACGTTCGTCTCTCAGCGTGGGGTCCGCTGGATGGAGGAGGCGATGGAGGAGGCGGTGGTGGTGCCGAGCGGTGTCAGCTGGCCCCACCGCGTGGGTCGCTTCACGGAGACCCTTCGGGCTGGGCCGGGGTCTATGGGCAGCAGCAGCAGCACCACCACCACCCGCCTCCTCTGCTGCCCCATCCTCCGCCACCCCCTCCGCTGCCCTCCCTGATGTCTGCGCTGCAAGCCGAGGGCCCCGCTGTGGCCGAGTGGCTCGCGATGGCCGCGGTGGCGGCGCACAGCCCCGGAGCTGCGTCGGAGGCTGGGTCGAGCCACGACGGAGAGGTGACTTTTTGATTGCTTTATTGATCAAATAATTGATTAGTTGCTTAAATTATTGGTTTTATGATTGCCTGACTGGTTATCTAAATGGTTGATTGATTGTTCTGATCAATTAGTTTGTTAGTTGATTGGTTCATCAAATTATTGGTTTATGGATTGATTAATTGGTTGATTAGTCAATCGAGGGGTTAATTGATTAGCTTGATTAATTGGTTGCTAGATTAGCCTACTGATTGATTGATGAACATTCATTCTAACGCTCACGGCACAATCAATTCACACACGTCTAAGAATCGATTATTGACAACGTAAGCAAATGCGTCATTATATGCTCATGGAAAGCGTACGGCTGACGGAACCGAGGAAGAGAGACAGAACATAAAACACCGGAACGGGTGAGCCGGACAATCCAATAGGGCAGAGTTTTCCAAACTCCGGTCCTCGCTACCCACGACCACCACGGCTCCGTCTTTCCGCGCTTACCAATTCCCCCTCCCCGCTCAAATGCAGTGCAACTAAAACCCGTTCCACTCGGCGCGCGCGCGCACATGCGCGCGCCCGTCGGATTATTGTTAAACACCCGTCCCACGTGACGCGCTAAGCAATTAGCGCTGTCTGCGACAATCGAGCCGATTCAAATTAAGATTGAGATCCGGTGAGGGCACCCGACAACCTCGCTGCGAAGGCGTTTTGAGTGTAAGGTCACGGGCGAATAACGAGCTCCGCTGGAGCGGCGTGGGATAGGGTGCCACGGTGGAGAGGTGCCAACGATCTCGCCAGTAGAACAGGACGTTGTAGGTTCGATCCCGATACCCTGGCGCCTGTATATTTGCAGTTGGCATGTTCTTCCCGTGGTTGCGTGGATTTGTTTTCTCTGGGTCCTCCAGTTTTTTCCATCCACATTTAGAGTGAACGTGCGTTTAGAATATTTGGCTGCTGTAGATTTCCACGAGATAGTGGCCAGGTGGCTTCTGAAAAAAAAAAATATCTATATTGCTCAGTGGGCCTTATCTGCCAAAAAATATTTTTCTTTGTTTTAAAACAGCTGCGCAATCTCACGAAATGCCATCGCTGATCGTGGTAAACGTTTGTCCAATGGGAAGAGGTAAGCGTGAGTATTGGCAGTGTGAACACGGGGTCTCCGGGCGTCCCTCCTCCAATGAGTGTGGGGCGCTGCGCAGCAAGCTCCATTGGCGGCCCTCCAATAGCAGGGTGGATATTCCACATTCCGGTGGCAGGGTGCCAGTTTAACTCGACAATTACTGTTGACTTCAAGCAAAGTGCTGCTACTCGTATGACCAAAATCACCGTAGAGCTTGCCCCATCTCGTCGGATCTCATAAGCTAAGCAGGATTTTTTGGCCTGGTTACTATGAGGAAACTAGGCTCAGCAAAGCCACCAATGGATTGTTTATGGATCCCACGTGTAGTCTGTGGGTCTTGTGTTCGTCAATGGGTCCAATGTTAATCTATGAGTCCCATGCGTGTCTATAGATACTATGTTAATCTATGAGGCTCATGGTGATGTATGGGTAATGTGTTATTATGTGTATCTTACGTTAATGTATGGTACCTCTGTTTAACCTAAATGGTCATGTGTACATCTATGGATCCGATGTATGTTTATGGCTCCTATTTTATTATATGGGCCCTATGTTAGTATATGGGTCATGTTCATGTCAATACGTTATATGTTTGTATATGGATCCTGCTCATGTCAATGGATCCTATTTATGTTAGTAGTGTATATGGGTCGTGTGTAAGTCTATAGGTACTGTGTTTTTTCAACTCACAGTTTATGAGCACATGCCTCAAGACAGAAACAAATCGCACTGTCAAAGTGGCGTTAGTACGTGTTTTACATTGAGGAGTTGATTCGTGTCTCACATTTAGCAAGGTCACAGGAACTTGGGAGAATAATAATAATAAATTACATTCATTTTACTGGCGCCTTCCACTAATGTCTCAAGGCATCTTGTAAGGATAAGAGAAGGTTAAGCTAAATAGAATAAACTCATGTTCTTAGCTCTTTCGGTAAAGTCACGTTGAAGGGAAACAATAAAATAATGTTTCCCTTCAACGTGACTTTACCGAAAGAGCTAAGAATATGAATTACTGCAGTCACGAAAGCTTTAAATCAAAATAGAATAAACTCGCTTAAGAAAATGTGTTTCAAGACAAGACTTTAAAATATCCACATTATCGATGGTGGGAGGTGGGGGGGGGGAGGAACTGCAGCAACTTCAGAGGTTGGTGACGGTGGCTCCTGCTCGCTCCGCTTGTCTCCTCGTGCGCCAGATGATGATGGGTGACATTATGGACGACATCATGGGGCTCGAGTCGAGCTACAGCGACGAGGAGCTGGGCCGGGCGCACGCGGCCCACGTTGCCGTCGGCACGGTAAGAGTGGCGCGGTCGTGGTCGTGGTGGTGCCATTGGTGGTGGTCGTGGTGTCATTGGTGGTCGTGGTGGTACCAGTGGTGTGTGGGGAGTGTTGGCGCAGTGGTTCGCGCGCTGCGCTTCGAACCCGGCGAGCCGAGTTCGATTCCCGCTCACGGCCAACACCAGTGACGGTTATTCGAACCGGTCCTGGGTCTCCCCTAGGTCGACTCAGCCTCAAATGAGTACCTGGTGCAGTGTGTAAACATCGCCACTAGGGAGACAAATGCGACCGGGCGTGATGTTGGCCACCCACCCCCTCGTGTACCGTGGCGGCCTTCATTGGTGCTCGCTAACAGCACTTGCCCTTAACAGTCTCTTGAAATTCTGATTTAAAGCTTTCGTGACTGCAGGGATTCATATTCTTGGTTCTTTCGGTAAAGTCACGTAGCAGTCGAAACGTCGTGAGAATTTTATTGTTTTATATTTTTAAGTCTCTTAAAAGTTATTCGGGGTCTTTGTCTTTGGTACCATTGGTGGTGGAGTCAGTGGTGGTAGCGGGGGTGGTGGTGGTGCCGGTAGTGCCAGTGGTGGTAGGGCACAGTTGGCACATTAGGGAGGCACAATTGGTGCATCTGACAGTCATCTCAGTCAACCCATGACACCTGGGTTTGTGCCATGACCTCCTGTCAGCGAGCCTTCGACACTTCACGTGGCGCACCTGGCCTGGCACAGGCGCCGTGGTGTCATCACCGCCACTTAGTGGCGAATGACAGATGATGTTGTTGTTATTGGTCGCGCCGGTAGTGGCGGTCGGTGGTGGTGATGGTGCCAGTGACGTGGTAGTGGCAGCTGTGGTGTCGGCGCTGGTGATGGACGTTGGATGTGGGATATATTCCTACACGAAAAATTCCTGAGTAATTTTTCTTAACGTTTTGCTGTAATGTTTGCATGTGTTTTTAGTGCTAGTGTATGATTACCATATATAAGTTCATGGGTGCAATATTCATTGACATCTAAGTCTGTATGCCCAGTATAAGTCTATTGGCCCTTTATGATTCTGTAAGTCCTGCTGTCAGGGACTGTGGAAGTCTATGGGCTGTATGTCTGTCTATAGATCATTTGTAATGATGTTAGCCTCTGGGTTCTGTGTAGGTCTATTAAGTCTATGTTAATCGATAGGTCCTGTGAAAGACTGTGGGTCATATGTTAGTCTATAGGTCATATGGAAGTTTATTGATCTATTGATCCTTTGTGTATATTTTCTATATAAAGCTACAGTTCCTATTTAAGCCTATGGGTAGGCCTCGGCAAGGTAAGGTAAAAGGTAAAAACAACAAGCCTACCTTTACCCTACCTTTTACCTTACCACAATACAATCACTCTACCCTACCTTTTACCCTTCAGCAGGTAAGGTAAAAGGTTTAAAGGTTAAAAGCAACGAGCCTACCTTTACCCGACCTTTTACCCTTACCCCATACAAATTACCCGATTACAGGGTAATTACTGGGGTACTACACATGAAAAAGGTTTATAACAAGTAAATGCTAGATAGAGTGCTTTATTCATATAGAATTCTCTCGATTATTCCAATTTGACACGCTTTCTTTAAACTCACTCTGTCTGTTGTTGTTGTCGTTGTTGTATCCTCAAATTTTGTAACTCAATTTTAACCCACTTCCCAATGTGGTATCGACTGCAAACTTGGTATACTTATGTTATACTGATGACAATACTATATTCTATCATTAAAAATAATAGAAAAATATTTTTAAACGTTATTTTTTTATGTTATGTTTCGGCTTGGGTCTAATTGTCCACTGTAAACTGACGTTGGCTGTAATTGCCCACGGTCCCTTACGTTATGGCGAGCTTCGGGGCCACTTCCTGGAGTCGTGGAGTTCTGCCATTACTCGTAGATTTCATAACAGCATGTTTTTAAAAACGTTTAAAAAAAATATTACTTGTTAAATGGAGGCCACGGACTGCGCCACGGAGCTTTTAGCGGTAAACAAGGTATCGTATTTACCGGGTAATACTTCGCGCTACCTTTACCCTATCGGGTTATTCTTCCAAGCTACCTTTACCTTTACCCTTTACCTTACCCCTTGGCATGACGACACCTTTACCCTTCACCTTTACCCTTTTACCCGGTAAAAAAGGTAAATTACCTTACCTTGCCGAGGCCTACCTATGGGTCCTATGGCAGTCTATGGGTTCTATACAAAGCTGCAGGTGCTGTGTTCGTCTGTGGGTGCTACGGTCGTCTGTTGATGCTGTGTTAGTCTATGGGTTTTTTTGTTATTAAGCTACAGGTGCTGCGTTAGTCTTCGGGCTAACATAGGCCGGTGTCTGCCCCGTGCGCCACCCTCTGCTGCCCGCATGCAGGTGACACCGCGTGGCCGAGCGGGCGGCTTCAGGGGCCACCACGCGGCACTGGGACAGATGCACACGCTGCCACCCATGACCTGTGGCGACTCCATCAAGGTGGAGATCACGGGTGAGCACGGCCCACCGTGTGAGGTCGCGACGGGCGAGATCGATGGCCCGTTTAGGATGCGACGAGAAGGAGAAGCCTGGGAACCACTACACTTTTTACGAGGGTTTAAACCGGCCGCCGTTCACTGGAATTGAGGTCTGATAATTCATTAACCATTTCGCCATTCCGACGATGTACTGTATGTGTATGTCATCAAAACTAAACCGGAAGAAAAACTGAAATAAAATTACTTCACCGGTACCGAGGCTCCCACAAGGCCATGCAGGAGGGCGTATGGCACAGTTTGGCGCCAGCTATCATTGAGTGCGGCGGAAGTGTCGCGACCGTTCTCTGCGGTGAGCAGAGTGTCTTTAAAAGCAACGACGCTACGCCTCTCTAAATAAAATTAATGCTGAGCCGCGTACGCGTTCCGAGATTCAGCGGTGAACGGGGACCCACCCTGCAACTTACAGACGACTTGGAAACGGGAAAGGGTTAATTGAGGTGGCGAGGTTTCTCAGGGGTCAGAGAGTGCCGAGCTAGCACTGCTGAGATCCCGATTTTGAATCTTGGCTTCAGTGGCCTGTGTAGTCCACGCATTCCCCAATGATTGTAAATATTTTCAATTGCTTGAGGTGTTGTTGCTCTGCGCTGACGACGGCGTTGGTCGTGATTTCTCACTCAACAGTGTGGGCCGCGTGAAGGCCGCTGCCATTTTGTACTCCTGGAAAACTTTAATTTCACTAAAATGAATTTGTCTACGTTTGTTTGACTCCCAGTACACCCTCAGATTAGAACGGTGTGCTACGTGCGGTGCAACAGGCAGTTCAACATACTTGCGTACATAAACGCTCAGGGCAGTCACCGATGACTGAGCGAAAAATAAAACCCCCATCGCATTAAGCTTGGTTCGTCGTTAAATTCGGATAAATTCCACTTTTTTTCAAATTTTCTTGTTGTGGTTTTCACACCTGATGATGATTGCTTGTGTTGCAGTCGAAACGTCGTGAGAATTTTATTGTTTTATATTTGTATTATTTTATTGTTACCTTTCTACGTGACTTTACCGAAAGAACCAAGAATATGAATCCCTGCAGTCACGAAAGCTTTAAATAAAAAAAATTCCAATCCATCAAGCGACTTTGGAGCTCATCGCCGACCCCACGAACGTGACTTTAGCCCTCTGGCCTAATCAGACTTTCGCACGAACAATTAGCCACGTGTGCTCCCAAGACACATTTTCATAATCGCTGCGTTTAAGATAAGACGAGATAGGCTCCAAAATCGGTCGATCGTGGACGCGGCAGATAACAACAAAGCAGAGACCATTGTAAATCGCGGCTGCCCCCTTTTTTTGTTTGCCATCGCTCCCTCGCTCCGCGCCCAGTCGAATCAGTGGCGCTTTCAAACCACTTCCCAAAATACCGTCTCGGTTACGCCCGTCGGCTTAGCCCGTCGGTTTAGCCTCGCTCCCAAAATGAATGAAATAGGAGGGCAGCCACAATAAAATACATAACCCGTACAGCCTGGTGGGCGATCGGGAGAATCATCACATCTCCTCTTAGACACGTGATGTCAAATCAATTAGTCACGTGGCAGAAGTGTGTGCACGTGTGTGCGAATGTGTCGTGTTTTTATTTGGGAGCAGTGGTGTAGTGGTTAGTGCGCTGCGCTATGAACCTTGTGAACCCGAGTTTGATTCCCGCTTACAGCCAACACCAGCGATGATTATCTGAACCGGTCCTGGGCCTCCCCTAGGTCGAATCAGCCTCAAATTAGTACCTGGTGTGTTGTGTAAACATTGCCACTGGGGAGACAAAGGCGGCCGGGCGTGGCGTTGGCCATCCACTTCCTCATTTGCCATGCCCGGCTTCATAGGTGCTCGCTAACAGAACTTGCCTCAACGGTCTGTTAGCATTATACGGGGGTTCTTTGCCTTTGTGTCTACATGTATTGCTTCACCATGCTCTGAAGTGAGCAGTGGCTACATCGCGGCAGCTGTGATGGGTTACAGCCACTTTTGACTTTCAACAAACTGCTGCTCATTTTGTTATCCACAGAGGGATGATGGGCCGAGTGCTCTGAACCTGGCCACCTGATTTTGATTCCCGGCCGTGGCTGACACATCAACGGCGAGCGATGCCTGAACCAGTCCTGACCTCCCCACCACATTCAATCCACCACACTGACCAGCATGGCAAAGTCTGGTCAAACAATCTCCATGGTGGCATGGGGCGGTCTTCATCTAGCAGTGGATTGACAATGGGTGCCACGGTGGCGAGATGTTAACTTCCTCGACTTGTATCCAGGAGATCGTGGGTTCAATTCCAACCCTGACGCCTGTATATTCGGAGTTTGCATGTACTCTGAACATGTGTTAAGTGTATTTGCTTGTTATAAATTTCCACAAGATCAGCCACTTCATTGAGCTAATCATTTGTGATGGCCAGGTCACTTCTGAAAAAGAGGTACATAGCTCAGTAGGCCTTACCTGGTAAAATAAAAACAGTCTAGTTGTAGCCGCTCTGCTGCTGCCAGCTCTCGCGATCGCGAGATGTTAACTTCTTCGCCTTGTATACAGGAGGTCGTGGGTTTGATCCCGACTCTGACAGCTGCTGTATATTTGGAGTTTGCGTGTTCTCCCCATGGTCGCGTGTGTTTTTCTCCGGGTCCTTCGGTTTTTCCCTCCACATTCAAAATCAACGTGCATTGAGCTAATCGTTTGTGACAAGCTCGCTTCTGAAAAAGAGCTAAATAGTTCAGTGGGCCTTACCTGATAAACAAAACGTTTAGTTTAGTTTTAATTGTTTTAATCAGTGATAACAATACATCAGTAGTTATAATCTGGGATTGGTGATGATGCACTATGAATCTCCTTCACTGCCCTATGCCGACCAGTCAGGTGAAGCATAACGTTTAAATGATATCACAACACTGCTATTGTCGAGCTCGCCCTCAGTCAAGGCTCTTGTGCCAGCAGTGGCGTTCGCTAGTAATTGCAGGGCTGCTCCTTTACCCTATTGCCTTTACAAACGATACATTTATTAAAAATGTTTTTTTTTTCAAATCAGAATTGCAAAAATTGAGTTTGTTTTTCTTTCTCAAAAGATGTTTGTTTTCATCATCGTCGTCCTCTTCACGACATCCTCGTCATATTACGACTAATGACGAACTGAATGATGTTTATTGCTCATTCCGTGGTAGGGCAACATGGCGGCTGCAGTGGTATCCGCTCGTGGCCTCACAGCAATAAAGGGTCCTAGGTTTTAATTCCTGACTCCGGCGCCTTTCTGCCCGGAGTTTGTACGTTCTCCCGTGGTTCTGTGTGGGTCTCCTCCGTGTTGCCTGCTTTCCTCCCATAGCTTGACAAAACGGTGACAATTGTAACCGCTGTTGGCGACCAAACATCCCACGGTTGAAATATTACCTGGGATTACGCGCAGCCGCGGTAGCAGCATGATCAGCCCCCTCCTTGCGAAAACCTGGCAGGACCCTTCCTGATTAAACGAGCGTAAAACATTATAACAGGACCGCTTATAAATCAAGAACTAAAATTAGCACTGGGGTGAGCTCCCGGGTCCACGAAGCCAGTTCACAAGAAATAAATGGTTCAAGTGCCAAATGTCAATCTGTCTGTTTACCCACTTGCTGACAAACACAATCATCGCAGCACACACAGCCACGCCGTTTTCCTCGAGGCACGCCGTGACACGGTGTGACATGCTGTCACGTAACGAGCGTCGTCCCCATGATTTACCGGCAGCGGGAATGAAATTGTGCTGGGTTGGATGGATCGCTGCGTTGTGCGATCGCAAGAGCTGGTGGCAGCAGCACGGATAAAACAAAACTATTTTTTTTATTATTTTACTATGTTAGGCCATACTGAGCTAATCATCACAAATGATTAGCTCAGCGAAGTGGCTGATCATGTGGAAATTTATAGCAAGCAAATACACTCAACAAATGTTCAGAGTACATGCAAACTCCGAATATACAGGCGTCAGGGTTGGAATTAAACCCACGATCTCCTCTATACCAGGCGAGGTAGTTAACATTTCTCCACCATGGCACCGGATTTGGGAGGCCTTCATCTAGCATTGGATTGACCATGGCCGATGACGATGATGGTGATGATGATGAAAATTGTAAACTGCCAACGTTCCATTGTTAAAACATTCAATCGTGTTTTTTTTCTAGAATTGGAAGCTCGCGCGCTGGTGAAGGAGAGGAGGAAAAAGGAGAGCCACAACCTCAGTGAGTTTTACCCGTGGAAATGAGAGCCCCAGGAACTGGGTATCTGACTGGATACAAAATAACACCGTGACCTTTTTTTGTGTAAGCCCGAGTTTGCGTGGATCACACTCGGGGGTTCCCGGTTACTGATTGTGTTCACTTTGTTAAGTTATATTTTTTTTGTTCGTCAATGTGTTTTAGTTATTTTACATTTTTGAACCAGTTCCCTATTCCTGTAGCATGTAAAGCATATACTGGTACTCGCTGTTTGTATCGAGACTTATGTGACCATGCGCTAAGGGGTGCCACAGTGGCGAAATGTTAACTACCTCGCCTGGTATAGAGGAGTTGGTCGGTTCAATCTCTACCCTGACACCGGTATATATTGGAGTTTGCGTGTCTCTCTCCCCGTGGTTGCGTGGATTTTCTCCGGGTCCTCCGGGTTTTCCCTCCACATTTATAAACGTGCATTTGGAGCATTTGTCTGCTCCTAAAAATTACCACGCATTAAGCCACTTAATTGGGCTATCATTTGTGGCCAGGTCGCTTCTGAAAAAGAGCCATATACCTAAGTGGACCTTAATTGGTAACATAAAAAAGTTTTATAGTTTAGTTTTATTTTAAGATCTCCGTTGTATAACATCTGTACTGTCGCAGAGATCAGCAGAGCTTATCAGCTCACTGGGCCCTTCCTTTGAAATAACTAAAACTTCTGGAGGAGACCTCTGGGGCTCCCACTGTGGAGGCCTTCATGCCAGCAGTGGCGTGAGCAAGAAATTGCAGGTCCGCACCCTTCACCGTGTTTTTCTTCCCACCAGTCGAACGGCGAAGAAGGTTCAACATCAACGATCGTATCAAGGAGCTGGGAGCCCTGATCACCAAGTCGAGCGATCCGTGAGTTCAACGCTCTTTCACTGCGCTCACAAAGTCAAAGATCCCCCGTATAGCCTTAACAGACTGTTGGGGCAAGTGCTGTTACCTATGAAGGCCGGCACGGCACACGAGGAGGTGGGTGGCCAACACCACCCCCGGCTGTCTTTGTCTCCCCAGTGGCGATGTTTACACACCGCACCAGGTACTCATTTGAGGCTGAGTCAACCCAGGACCGGTTCAAATAATCATCATTGCTTTATGCCGTGAGCAGGAATCGAACTTGGGTTCGTAGTGCAGCGTTGCTAACCGCTGCACCACCGCTCCCGACGCTCATTTACTGTGCTCACTCCCGCTGTACTTTAAGCAGTCCCCCTCCTTAGCCTGCATCCGTACCTCTCCCAAAGCCATTCTCCATTGCTCATTCTCTTACCCTTCCCTCCACTCGCCCCTCCAATCCTTCCCAGCCCTCCGCTACCCTTTCGTGACCCCCACGTGCCCTCTGCTGCGGTCACTCATTCCTCAACCCTTGCACGCCGCTGCCATCTAAATCATTCTCGATTTTGTCACCGGTTTCTTTTTAAAACGACGTGAAGCGGCTTGAGTGGAGGCGCTCTATAAATATGAAATGAGGTAAGGGTGGCTCCATACAATCACTTTAACATTAGGAAAATTAAACACTGTCACGCCCGTTATCATCATCAACACTCATGTTCAATCCACTGCTGGATGAAGGCCTCCCACCCCATCGTGACCCAGAGATGAAGTGATCCACCTGGCACCTACCCGCGCACGAGGTGATTTTATTGCTCCATCTCCCTGGTGGTGGGCACCTGCTTTGAACCGCAAAACCATTGCAACAACTGTGGAATGTGCCACCACAAAACAATGTTAAGCCTTTCCAAGAACCAGAAGAAAGACTAAACTTTATCGGTATCACGGCTCTCACAAGGCCATGCGGGACGGCGTGTGGCACAGTTTGGCGCCGGCTCTCATAGAGTGCGGTTTGGTCGCTACAGTTCTTTCCAGTGAATATAACGTCTTTAATAACAACGGCGCTAGGCCTCTCTAAATAAAATGAATGGTGAGCCGCTTGCAGGTTCAGAGATTCAGCGGTGAACGGAACCCACCTTTCAACTTGCAGTTTCGGAACGGGAAAGGGTTAAGATGAAAAAAAAACCCAATGTAGCAGGAACTTCCTGAAAAAAAGTCCACAGACTCGGTGTGGTCTGTCGTGGATAAAGAAGCGAATATTTTTTTAATTAGTTTATCCGTCACTGCAAGCATCTCAGCAGTGGCTGATGGGGAACTAGAGGGCTACAATGCTCACTTGGAAAAACTGCGTGTCTGATTTTAGCACCGTGCTCGGTCGCTTCCTGTCACTACAAGGGCCCTCTCGCAGTAATAGCAGCGATTGGAGTGTGTGTGTTGTGCGTCCTTGACCCTCGGTCAGAAAAACACTCCCCGCCCCGTCAGTTTAAAATCCCGCAAGACACAGCCCACACTTATCCGTCTCTGTCTCCCCATCTCTCGGTTTCCTTTTGGCCGGGAAGGGTTCATGACCGACACGACGGCTCTAGTATTTTGTCTGCGCGTGCCAGAGGAGTCGGCATGGGGTTACATTGTGGGAGGTGGGAGGATGGCGCATTGCTGCGGCCGCACTAGCCGACGCATACTTCACATGTTGTTACATTTAAAAAAAGAAAGAAAAAAACGTGACCAAAATACATTTGTAAATAAGGTGTGATGAGACCGCGACCACCCACGCATGGCGCTGCGCTGAAGTATATTACACGTCACATTTCTGCGGGGCGTCGGATTGCCTCCGCATCCTGCGTGGACCCTCCTCTCCAAACACCGGCGCTCATCCCTCTGCAGCCGCTCGGAGAACCGTGGCTCCAACCACTCGGTGTGCGGAAGGGCCCATCGGCTCACTACTTTTGAGAACGCACTGCAAGCACGGGCGGTTGAGAACCGAATTGGAACTTTAGGATCTCAGCGGGCAATTCTCTATCGCCTTTGTTTCGTCTCATCGGTGAGGGAGAACGCGAGGGGTGGCCAGCGCTGTTGGCTCTGGGTGGAAGGCGCAGCCCTGCAATGGTGCCGCTCACTGCTGGCAGAAGGGTTTCCACTTGGAGGGAGCTCGAGAGTAGCCCCCCGCTGCCCCCCTCTCGTGACAAGGTGTTTTGGGCCTTTATACTTCTAAGCCGGTGTAACGTCTTGGACCGCGCTTGCCGCGAGGAGTTAGCGTGGACGTTTAAATATAATCCATATCGTTCATGCTCCTGCGGTAAGGGCTCATGTCACTGTTGAGGGTAGAATTCTGAGATGTCCACGAGGGTCGAGGGGTTTCATAATTGTTGTGTCAGAGGCATTGAGCTGGCACTGCGTAGATCCTAAGTGCAAATCTTGGTTTTCAGCTGCGACATCATTCAATTGGGTTTTCGAATGTAGCAACTGCTCACCAATCACTGCACAGCAATCCTTCTACTTTATACTGTCCTTCATCTACGAAGACACAAGTCACATTTCTGCATGGGGGTCGGCTGCTCGGATTTCTTTTTCCATGTGCTACTATTCTGTGCCTCGTCTTTTAACTAAATTTTTCTCCTTGCGTAGAGACCCATAGAGTCATATACACTTATATGATCCATAGGCTTACATCGAGATCTGTAAACTCATTTACACTTACATTATCCATAGGCTTACATAGCGACCCACAGACTGTACTGTACACTTACTGTACACTTACATGATACATGCAAGTACGCAGAGGCCCATTGTGAAGAACAAAAAAATGTATGCTCGCTCGCAACACCGTCTGAATGTCTCTTGTGGCCACCCACCCACCCTCCCTCCTACCCGCCCACCCGCCCGCTCGCCGGTCCACAGGGACATCCGCTGGAACAAGGGCACCATCCTGAAGGCGTCGGTTGACTACATCCGCCGCCTGCAGCGCGACCAGCAGCGCTCGCGTGACATGGAGACGCGGCAGCGGCTGCTGGAGGAGGCCAATGCCATCCTGGGCCTGCGCATACAGGTTCGGCGCTACAGGTGCCAGCGTTAGAAGGGGGGGGGGGGGCATTTGTGGGATCCACATGGTGGGTCCTACCTGGTGGGCCCTACCTGATGGGTCCTAACCAGGTGGACCCAACCCGGTGTGCCCTAACCTGGTGGGTCCTAACCGGGTGGGTCCTAACCGGGTTGACTCTACCCGGTGTGCCCTACCTGGTGGGCCCTAACCTGGTGGGTCCTAACTGGGTTGGCTCTACCCGGTGGGCCCTACCTGGTGGGCCCTACCTGGTGGGCCCTACCTGGTGGACCCTAACCTGGTGGGTCCTAACTGGGTTGGCTCTACCCGGTGGGCCCTACCTGGTGGGCCCTACCTGGTGGGCCCTACCTGGTGGGCCCTACCTGGTGGACCCTAACCTGGTGGGTCCTAACTGGGTTGGCCCTACCCGGTGGGCCCTACCTGGCGGGCCCTACCTGGTAGGCCCTAATCTGGTTGGTCCTAACCGGGTTGGCCGTACCTGGTGGGCCCTTCCTGCTGGGCCCTACCGGGCGGGCTCTACCTGGTGGACCCTAACCTGGTTGGTCCTAACTGGGTTGGCCCTACCCGGTGGGCCCTACCTGGTGGGCCCTACCGGGCGACATTGACCGTGCTTTGCCAGCAGAAGTAACTGACTGGGGTTGTACTCAGTGTGTTCTCAATTGGTTTGAGGAAATCTATCACCTCCCTGCCTTATCTGTCAGCCTTCCTACAAGCTTGCATGCCTACTTACCTTCATGACTGCCAGTCTGCTTGCTGGTCTGCTTCCCTACCTAACCATCTATCACAACCGATTACGTACATACCTACCTGAATGCTTTTCTACCTGCCCGCCTTCCAGCTTACTAAAAAAAGTGCATAAAATTGTACGTTAGTTTGCTCACTTTTTATTTTACTTTTCTTGTTCCCACATTCTCTAGATTTTTGGGGGTTTGTATTAAAGTGTGAGGTGTGTGGCTGTGAGACAATGTGCAAAGCTTTATTGACACTGGGCACAAGTTTGGGGTGCATCTCATTTCCCAGAGCATCTTATAATCCAAAGCATTTGGTATTTCATAGTTACATTTTGACGTGCAATTTTATTGAGGGACTGTGTGCTGTCTTGGTGTGGTCTGGGACTGTTGTTTTTGTTTGTCTGCCTTGCCCAAGATTGCATTTGGTATTCAACAATCTACAGGAATTTATGTCCTTATGCAATTTGTACTTACATTATTTATTTTCATTCATATTTCGTGACTTTCTTAGCTTTACTATACTTTGCACTCCTATCGGTTTTTGTATTGGACATCTGTGAAAAAGAGCTTCATAGTTAATCGGATTCTTCCAGTCTAAATAAAGATTCTGATTGTAATTGATACATTTTTTTATTTGCTCCCAGGAACTTGAGAGGCAGGCCCAGGCCAGCGGCCTGCCACTTGTCTTCTCTTCCAGCCTGGAAGAGGAGGAGCAGCCAGGCTGGCTGGCCAGGCGGGGCTCAGGCACCGAAGTGGAGCAGGCCGAGCCGCTGAGTCCCACGGCAACAGTTTCCCATGGCAACGGCGGTGGCCATTGCCCGTCAGACAGAAGGCAGTGGCCCCACGTGGGCGCTCCCTCGTGCTGCTACGCAAGTCCGTTCAAGCGCAGCTTCGATAGTGGCGGATTATCTGCAGAGGGCAGCCTATCCCCATCATAAACAAAAAAAAATTGTTTGAAGCGACGCCCGGAACGGGCGTCCGATCTCGTCGCATCTCACAAGCTAAAGCAGGCTCGAGCCCTGGTTAGTTATTATTTCGTGGTTTCTTAACACAGACCCAAAGGACCCAGACGCATTGCGGTCAGCAACAAACGGCGCCATTAAAATTGTAGTCGACGAATCGTATTACGTTTTTTTTAGTTGAGCAAGGTTACTGTACGAGCTTGGGAAGAGAGACGATGGTAGGAGGGAATTTCAAATGCAAGCGGTGCGATTGAAGACTCAGAAAGAGAAGCGTTGTGACCTTGTGCAGTGTTGTGAGTGGGTGAGCGAGTGGGAGAACGAGCGAGGTGGGTGGCTGTGTAAGTGAGCGAGTTGTTGTGACGGGTGAGACGAAACGGTCTGGTGGCAGACCGAGTCCTCAATGCGAGTGGGGGAATCAAAGAGTGGAGTTCACGGGAACAGTAATCATGGTAGTAGCGATAGAAGAATGATTGTATGGGGGGAGACCATGAGGGTTGCCACTTCTGAGATATAAAAGAAAACAGGGGACATAGCATGGGAAGATGATTATCTCGCAATACTGGAAGAGGCGAGAACTACAAACAAATGCATTGCCTTGAGTTGTGTATTATTATGTAAGTAGTAAAATAACCTGGGATTGTTAATGTCCTGGGAAGACTCACAGGACAGGTGGCAACCCTAGTGGCCACCACACAAGCCAGGCAACCACACTACCTGATGGGCAGTGCGGCATAATACATTGTTGTACTCTACTTTCTATGTTCCCATCTTCTATGCTCCCCACCTTCACCAGCCAGCACTAACCACATCGGTGAAGCATGGTCAAATTGCACCCCCACGACCCGCGCGGCGCAGGGAGGCCCTCGTCTAGCGGTGGATTTCCAAGAAGGGGGGCTGTGCATTTAGACTTAAAACTTTCGCGACTGCAGGAATTCATACTCTTGGTTCTTTCGGAAAAGTCACCTAGGGGCTGTGCATGTTCATAATTGCACAGGGTTGCCGCTTGTACATGATTCGTATGGACAGAACTATTGGGAGGCATGGTGGTGCAGCAGTAACACTTGTGACCCACGAAGGGGGGGCCCTGAGTTCGACTCCCGGACTTGACGCCTTTCTGAGTGGAGCTGGTATGTTCTCGCCCTGTCCTGCATCGGTTTCTTCTGGGTTCTCGGGTTGCCTCCCATCGCAAAAAAGAAGACCCATACAATCAGTTTAACATGTAGGCTTTCGCGACCAATATTGAATGAATGGATGAAGACCCATACAATGTAACCTGCATTGGCCAAACATCGCAGTGCTGGAAAAAAATGACCTGCAAATGACTCAATCGGGATTACACACAGAGCAACAGCAGCAGCAACATCGCCGCCCTCCTGTGAAAACGTGGCAGGACCCTCCTGAAGACGAGTTGAAACTCGTTGAGTGATGCTCTTCCTTGGTAAACAAGCGTAGATAGTAATAATAATAACAACGCCTGCCATACGATGGGGCTCCAGAGCAATATTTGTACTCGTTTTGACCATTGAAATAGCTCAGCGTGATTTGACACCGGTTTGTTTGCCAGGATATATCGTGCCTTTGAAGTACATGTAGTACAATACTCTCATGCCTCGTATCGCTGTCCATGTTTTGATGAACTCAAATGTGGCGGCCCTTTTCTAACTCGCGGGCGAGTAACCGGCGGCTTGCGACCGGAAGTTCCACTGGTGTTGAACTCACTCAGCCCACCATCCCTCTGGGGGTCCATAAAATAAGTACCATGGTGTGTGGAAGTCGACAGTGGTTGTCCAATGGAGAGAGCCGCCCCTGACATAGGAACGCGGAATTTTCATCACCGGCTCGTGACTGTAAATAGGAGATGAGCATGGGGTCAATGCCCTTTCGGGGCAGCGAATCACTCTGACATTATTGTTATCATTATTCTGTAGCGACGCGTTTATTGACGGCTCACAACCGATTCTCGCGCCTCGCAATGCAATCGACGTCTTGCATGTGCAAGACGTCGATTATTTGCGGATTGTTCAAACGTTGTGCTCACGTGACATTTAAAGGCTAACGGGCGGAAACAAAACCGCGCAGAGGAGTAATTTATAATACTAATAAAGCGACAAGCTTGCAAATCGGATTAAAAAATATATTTAATCGATTCTTTAATCGAATTGTGATCTCGAATTGTGATCTCGAATTGTGATGATGAATCAATCTCCTGGGGGGCAGGGGATGGGGGTAAGGGGGGGGCGTGGGTGAGCGGTGGCGTTATCCTCATAGTGTTTAGTTGTTTACAACGTCATTATTATTGCTGTTGTTATTTTCGGGGGTTTTGTTGTAATGTTTTACCGGTAATTTGGGCAGCTCATCATCATTATTATGCCTGTTCTTAAAAGTCCTGCTGCAACGAGTTCGAGCTGACGTGCCTTGTTTTCTACTGAATCAGAACTTTAAGACGTTCATAAACGTCTGGCAGTCATTGTGTGCCTAATTACTAGCGACGCGTATCGCAACAATGCGACCCCTCTATTTCCGCAAAAAAAATTGTTACGGATATTAGGACGAACGATTTGTTTTTTTTTAAACTAACCAGCTTCTTTCTCAATCCGCTGCTGAAACCAAAGCCATGCCATGTCGGTCGTTGAAGGCTGTGTGACCGTACTTCACCAGCCTGAGGGCCAGAATTAGATCGGATATCACTCCTCCTCCTGTTGATGTAGAGTGACAGCTGCGAGGTGTGTGCTTCATGAGCCGGATGATTGCGTCAGGAGTTGCGGAACCGTGCAGCGTCGCTGCGATGGTGACGATGCCGACCCTTCGTCTTTGTGAATCGGGGGCACCGAGTTTGCGTTCCACGTTCCACGGCTCTCTTCTGGGTGGTGATCACGGTCGCACCGCGCACTGCGGGAGAGAGTTATTGATTTTCAACGTGTGAATTGTCAATATGGTCACCGGGTATCCGCGTCCGCTGCCGCCACCATGGTTTTGTCGGGCTTTTTGATGTTAGTCGTGGTAAGAAATCTAAAAACTCAGGTGGAGTGCTGGGGCCGACCCCTGCCGCTACCACTCCATCCAGGATTAAGTTGCCCGATGGATGATGAGGACCCTTCGTAGATAGATGCTGGTTGTGGATATGTAGAGATTGCAGATGTAAGATGAGTCTAGATAAGAGGGTTTCACCGCAAGTTATTTCTGACATTGCTAGTGCTTATGCGGAGTGGTGGCGCAGTGGTTAGCGTCCTTCACTTTGAGCCTGCCGACCCGAGTTCAGTTCCCGGCCACGGCTATCACAAGCGGGGAGTGCTATCTGAACCGGTCCTGGAACTTCCCCTTCACCAACCCGCACTGACCAGCGCGGTGAAGTATGGTCAAACATGACCACCCCCCTCTCCGATGACCAGCACGGCGCAGAGAGGCCTTCATCCAGCAGTGGATCATTGACAAAGGCCCGAACGTTATTACTGTTACTACTGCTCGCGTAAGTAAATGCCATTTTATAATGCTTTGATTAATTAGCGTGATACGTTTTATATGCGAATCTACTACTGGATATTTTCTTTTTATAATATTGTAATACTGTTGGTGTGATATTTCATACGGTGTAAAAAAACTGTCCTGTAAATATTACTCTTTCGGTTTAGGCTGAACCACTATTTTGCTTCTGTTAGATACAATAAAAAAATAATGCTTCCAGGCTCAAATTAAACGATTTTGTCGATGGGACCCGTTTTTTTTGCCAGTATCAAGAAGATGATATGAAGAACAGGGTTCACCCTCAGCTGTTAAGATGTTCAAACACTAACATAGACACACCTACGCTGCAAGGCACCACGTCTGCATTTTCCTTGATAACCAAAAACTTTGAATGGTTTTGATATTTGCATTTTTTTGTGTGCCATTCGGCTCTTGGCATCGTTCTCTGGTCTTATACGGGTGTCGGGACAAGGCCATGATGGAGGCTGTCTCTGGCGTAGGCCAATCAGTTTTGAGGACTATGCGGACATTATTATCAAAGCACGCTTGCATGTGTTACCACAAGCTTGTGTGGCTCATGCAGACTTGATGCCTTGCAATAGGCGTGCCTATTTGGTGCTTGAACATCTTAACATCTCCTGTATTATATTCTTGGTTCTTTCGGTAAAGTCACGTAGAAGGGAAACAATAAAACAATAAAAATATAAAACAATAAAATGCTCACGGCGTTTCGACAGCAACACAAGCAATCATCATCAGGTGTGAAAACCACAACAAGAAAATTTGAAAAAAAGTGGCGGTTATTTTTAACGTTAGCACCACGGAAAGAGATTTGACAGTTTGTTCAGATGGACGAGTCCATCTATGTTTGGAAACAATAAAATAATAAAAATAATAAAAATATAAAACAATAAAATTATCACGACGTTTCGACTGCAACACAAGCATTCATCATCAGGTGTGAAAACCTCAAACAAGAAAATTTGAAAAAAGTGGCGGTTTTTTAACGTTAGCACCACGGATAGCGGTTGTTTTTTTGAGTGGTTGTAGGTGATTGGATGTGTGGGGAGCGGTAGTGTAGCGGTTAGCGCGCTGCGCTACGAACCCAGACACACGATTTCGATTCTCGCTCACTGCCAACACCCAGTGATGATCATTTGAACCAATTACTGAGCCTCCCCCTAGGTCGACTCAGCCTCAGATGAGCACGTGATGCGATCTGTAAGCATCGAAACTAGGGAAGCAACGGCGGCTGTGCATGGTGCTGGCCACCCACCCCCTCCTGTGCCGTGCCGGCCTTCATAGGTGCTCGCAAGCAGCACTTGCCCCAACAGTCTGTTGAGGCTATCCAGGGGGGTGGGTCTCTTTTGGGTTCGTTTTTTGGACGGGTGGGTGAGGGGCGGGCTACCCGCTGGGTCATGACCTTGGCGCAGGCACGCAATGGGCAACTCTGGCTAAAGCGTACAACATAGACAACACGCGCAGTGAACAATAGAACACCGCGTGCGATGAGCAACAATCGTAAACCATGGCAAACAACGAACGATATTGAGACGACGGCTCACCAGCACCAGCGATAACGAGCCCACGAATGGTAGCGCCTCCAGTGGCTGTAGGGGGTAATGCAAACCTGGAAAGCCGCAATGTTCGTGACATCCATCAGTGTTCTTCACTCATTTTCATCGGTGGGGAGGGGGGGGGGTTAAACTTTCGCCGATGAGACATCGCCAGTGTGAGGTCCGCCACACATCTGCAACCATTATGGGGTTTGTGACAGCACGATCGGTTCGCGAGAATCGGTTTTGAGCCGTCAACACATCGCTACAGAATAATAATAAAGATGTCAGAGTTATTCGCTGCCCCCAATGCGCATTGACGCCATGCTCATCTCCTGTTTACAGTCCTGAGCCGGTGATGGAAATTCCACGTTCCTATGTCAGGGGCGGGTCTATCTCATTGGAAAGCCACTGTGGACTTTCCCCACAACGTGGTATTTATTTTATCGACCCCCCCCCACCGCCTCGGAGGGATGATGGGCTGAGTCAGTTCAACACGTGTGGGACTTCTCATTGGAGCGTGAGGAGTGTCTTCACCGTCTGTGTTGTCACGAGCTCGCACTGAAGGCCACCAAGGGCCTCCAGTGACCCGCGGGCCTCGCAGTGAAGAGCACGCGAATCCATCGATGGCAAACAAAGGAGCAATACAACCATCGGTTCTCACGGAGATTCGGTGCACGTGTTATGAGCTCAAGAATAGATAATGGTCGATGATTTTATCAATTAGCGGTTTAAAATAATAAAAATTCGCAAAATAACATGGCGGAAAAACGATAAAACATTAGCCTTTCCCGCAATAATACAGGAGTTTTTTTTTTATTTAAAGCTTTCGTGACTGCAGGGATTCATATTCTTGGTTCTTTCGGTAAAGTCACCACAGCACTTGCGCCATGCTAGGTGCAACTGAGGCCACGTGAAGTGTCGAAGGTTCGCTGGCAGGTCACGGGAAAGTCCCAGGTGCCATGGGTTGACCGACTGAATGACTGGCAGATGCACCACCTGTTCCAACTCGCTGCATTTTATCCACCTGGCGCTCAGCTCGTTGTTGTGAGCGTCGCTCCCCTTGCCCTCCGTTGTTGCTGGAGGGCGACTGCCTCCAACTGCACAGTAGCAGCAGCGGCGTCCTTCACGGACCTCCTCCAGGGAGGCCGATCTCGACACCGCCGCTTGTGCCGTAAATTCGCGGTTCGAATACGGCAGGCAGCGCTGATTAATGCTGCGGGTTTAGTAAGCACAAGAAACACGCCATCCGCTGCACGGTCGACATTAAAGACCCCCTGAGGTCGTTTAAAACGCGTAGGTTATTGTGCGCCGTTATGACGATCAGAAATCTTGCCAAATGATAAAAAAATTACACGGCAAAATGACTCAACGGGGATTACATACACACGCACAGCAGGAGCAATCATCGTTCCCCTGATGGAGTTGTGCTACCATGTTCAGCGGATTATAAGACGCACCCCAAACTTAGAAAAATAGCGCGTTTTATAATCGGGAAGGTTGTGTGTGTGTGTGAGATCATATTTGTAAAAGTGTATTGACACCTGGACATAGCTTTGGGGGGTGTGGTGGTGATGGTGGTAGTGGGGGGTCTTACTTTCCAGACCTTCTTATAATGCGGACAATGCGGTAATTACGTTCTTGTGTACAGTTGTTGGCTGCTGTTTGATGTTTTTTTTTGTTTACCGCTGTTTTGTTCATCGCGTTAGAATTTTTTTAATGGTTTTGTCTTTTATTAATCACGCGTAATTCTTTATTGGGATGTCTGCTGTTTCCCGTCTGGGCTATTCTGTTTATCGTTTGCGTTTATTGTTTATCGCCGTGGTGTTAACCGAGCCGCGTTGATATGCGTGGCGATGCTTTTTTTTATTGTCCATATAATTTATCGTGTTTATTGTGACCACCTTCACTGCCGTTGGCATGGTGGTGCAGCAGTAACACTTGTGACCCACGAAGGGGGGGCCCTGAGTTCGACTCCCGGACTTGACGCCTTTCTGAGTGGAGCTGGTATGTTCTCGCCCTGTCCTGCATCGGTTTCTTCTGGGTTCTCGGGTTGCCTCCCATCGCAAAAAAGAAGACCCATACAATCAGTTTAACATGTAGGCTTTCGCGACCAATATTGAATGAATGGATGAAGACCCATACAATGTAACCTGCATTGGCCAAACATCGCAGTGCTGGAAAAAAATGACCTGCAAATGACTCAATCGGGATTACACACAGAGCAACAGCAGCAGCAACATCGCCGCCCTCCTGTGAAAACGTGGCAGGACCCTCCTGAAGACGAGTTGAAACTCGTTGAGTGATGCTCTTCCTTGGTAAACAAGCGTAGATAGTAATAATAATAACAACGCCTGCCATACGATGGGGCTCCAGAGCAATATTTGTACTCGTTTTGACCATTGAAATAGCTCAGCGTGATTTGACACCGGTTTGTTTGCCAGGATATATCGTGCCTTTGAAGTACATGTAGTACAATACTCTCATGCCTCGTATCGCTGTCCATGTTTTGATGAACTCAAATGTGGCGGCCCTTTTCTAACTCGCGGGCGAGTAACCGGCGGCTTGCGACCGGAAGTTCCACTGGTGTTGAACTCACTCAGCCCACCATCCCTCTGGGGGTCCATAAAATAAGTACCATGTTGTGTGGAAGTCGACAGTGGTTGTCCAATGGAGAGAGCCGCCCCTGACATAGGAACGCGGAATTTTCATCACCGGCTCGTGACTGTAAATAGGAGATGAGCATGGGGTCAATGCCCTTTCGGGGCAGCGAATCACTCTGACATTATTGTTATCATTATTCTGTAGCGACGCGTTTATTGACGGCTCACAACCGATTCTCGCGCCTCGCAATGCAATCGACGTCTTGCATGTGCAAGACGTCGATTATTTGCGGATTGTTCAAACGTTGTGCTCACGTGACATTTAAAGGCTAACGGGCGGAAACAAAACCGCGCAGAGGAGTAATTTATAATACTAATAAAGCGACAAGCTTGCAAATCGGATTAAAAAATATATTTAATCGATTCTTTATTCGAATTGTGATCTCGAATTGTGATCTCGAATTGTGATGATGAATCAATCTCCTGGGGGGCAGGGGATGGGGGTAAGGGGGGGGCGTGGGTGAGCGGTGGCGTTATCCTCATAGTGTTTAGTTGTTTACAACGTCATTATTATTGCTGTTGTTATTTTCGGGGGTTTTGCTGTAATGTTTTACCGGTAATTTGGGCAGCTCATCATCATTATTATTATGCCTGTTCTTAAAAGTCCTGCTGCAACGAGTTCGAGCTGACGTGCCTTGTTTTCTACTGAATCAGAACTTTAAGACGTTCATAAACGTCTGGCAGTCATTGTGTGCCTAATTACTAGCGACGCGTATCGCAACAATGCGACCCCTCTATTTCCGCAAAAAAAAATTGTTACGGATATTAGGACGAACGATTTGTTTTTTTTTAAAACTAACCAGCTCCTTTCTCAATCCGCTGCTGAAACCAAAGCCATGCCATGTCGGTCGTTGAAGGCTGTGTGACCGTACTTCACCAGCCTGAGGGCCAGAATTAGATCGGATATCACTCCTCCTCCTGTTGATGTAGAGTGACAGCTGCGAGGTGTGTGCTTCATGAGCCGGATGATTGCGTCAGGAGTCGCGGAACCGTGCAGCGTCGCTGCGATGGTG